CAAACAAATGGATCAATATAATTTACTTGTTGATTTGAATGATACAATATCATTTATGATATTTCCATTAGATTTTTTATTATTTTTCTAACAATAAAATTACTGACTACTAGAGAGCAAAACAATGAAAATACTCTATAGACTAATAGGGTATCATCTTGTAGCGTTAAAAAAAACATGATGATAACTTTTGTTTTCATTAATGAAATCAGAAATAAACGAGCATTGTTATAATTATTGCAATTTTATGTACTTTTATACGCTTGTATACTCCGCGTGGAGCATAGGCCACCAAACAAACTGTTCACAAAATCACCCATATCATTAGGTTGTTACTTTTACACTTCACTCTCATTCATCCCGAATTCATCATATTATTATCGTTTAGGTGAAATTATTCAATACAATTATTTTTTTATTAATGATGTTTGTTTCCTCTGTACGATTAACTCACTGAAACGCACAAATCACGTTTATTGAAAGGCAGTTGCACAAAAGTGCATTATTATTTCTTCTTTGAAAATGATGATCAAATGACAAACTAGTTGGTTTCACATATTAAGAATAAATATTTTACTTGAACATTAATACTGTTAATCTTTCTGTGAATTACTGCTAAGATAATCATAGAACGATAATCTAGAATGCCTTTTTTAAAATTCAATTTCCCTCATGATCATTGCTTTCTTCTGATTGGCTGCTACTACTTTCTCTCAGGTAATTCTTTTTGTACTTGTAGATGATGCCTTTGTTATCATGGATTATTTCTATTTATGCTATTGAAATAGGAGATTTCTCCTACACTTGATCTTTTTCTTATATTAAACGACAGTTAGTGAATTGTTTTTATAGCTGCTACCGATTATCAAATACTCAACAGAACTGTTCGTATTGAAATAACTAACGCTTATCTTAATTTTCAAGTATTTTAGTCCAAAGGGGGAAATCCCAGTAGATATAACCGTTTAAACAAGGAATTATCACGTACAGAATTTTTCTTGTCTTTATAAAAAGATAATCACTGACCTAATTAATACTTGTTTGAATTCATTCTGAGATCAAACAAAGTGACAAATTGAATCAGTTTATACAGAAACAAAATCATAGTTTAAATAGTTTACTTCATCTAATGCATAAATTTCGGGTGCTGAAAATAAAAAGATTACTCAACTACATTTCTATTCGAACGGTATTGACAAGATTTACTGATTTTTTTTTAAAATGCTAGCTATTTAATCAAGAAAAAAATCAATGACTGAATGTGAATGAATTGACAGATATGAAAAAAAACATATTTCAAGATATTATAAATTCATAAATGTGTGAATAAAACTATACAACTCTCAAACTTGAAATTTCTATCAAACTTTACGAGAGTACAATCACTTTTTGTTTTGTTTTTTCGTCAAATACCAGTATAAGTATTAATCTCATTCCTTTCTCATTGAATCAATGTATAAATTGTTATCATTATTTAACATTCAATTGTTATTTACTTTTATATAAATTTTAGCAGACAGTAAATTTTCAACTAAATACTCACTAATTGAGATACTTGAGATAATCTGTAGCTAGGTGAATCGTTTTAGAGAAGTTTCTTTCTCCGGCCTGGATGATTTAGTCGTGAAGCTGTCATTGTTGTATCGAACAACAGTATCACCACAAACTCAAGTCAAAGTGAAGTATTCGAGTTTTCCAACAAATAACTCATGCTTGTTCCGTTGATTTCGATCTTGAGTGGTTATCGTTGACTTCCAGTCAGGCATTATCGGTGTCTTTATTTTGACTGTATCCCCTTCGGTTTGATTTCTCCGTTCTATATTTGCGCCCATGAACTTCGAATAGATTCCAAATACTTCACTTTTACCTCAGGTTTTGCTGATAATGTCGTTCAGAAAAACAAATAAAGTTTCACGATCGAACAATTCAGCCAACGAGAACGAAGCTCTACAATAAGCACAAGTTATTAAAACTAATAAACTAATAAAAACTCAATTTTTAAGTAGAAATTTTATTTCTTGTATATTTGCAGAAAACAACTAGTAATTTTTTAAATCAGTTAACCATAAATTAAATAAAGAAACTTGTAAGTTATTCAAATTTTATCTACATAATACATTTATAAGAATCAATCTCAAACATAATATCTAATGTAGATTACAAAAGATTTTTAAAATGATCTATCTTCAATAAATCGGTTAAGGTAATAAGTATACTGGTAGTTTAGATTACTTCGATAGGGCAATATAATTAGAATAATAGTGAGCTTTAAAATAAGCTCTTCTCTTATTTCGAATATATCAACTCAACTAGTCTGATATGAATTAGGTGTAACATCTTAATGGTGAACTGACGAATCCGTTAAAACGATAATTATCTTATTCGATTAACAATATGTAGAAGTGAACACAAACTTTTAGTTTTTTATATATAAAACTCTCTCAAAATCATATACAGTGACCTTCTCACACAATTTCATTACAGGCCGATGATGAACTTGGCCTTGTAAATCAATAATATCAACATGAATTGTATATCCTAATAATAAAAAACATAACCTATGTCCAATAAATGCTAAGTGAATATAGACAGAAGATAACATATATGTCAACATTTACACGTACACAATTTCGACATACCCATATAAACAAACACAAACAATAACCTTTCAAACTTATCTAAACCATCATTTTATCAAAACAAATTACTATGTGCACCTGTGTTACAGTCATCTAGGTAAAAAAATTGACCAGAAATCAATTAACTCCCAAAACCTAACAGGAGTTAATCGATAAGCTTTTTAGTACCCATCCAATAGAATATTACAAACACACAGCATTATCACCACTTTTAATTTATATTCCATTAATTTTTTCTAATTTATTGATTTCTGAATATCATATATCTATCGAAAAAAATCACTTGATTCATCCTTGCTTTTTCTAGAAAAATAAAAACGAACAGTTTCATATGAACAATGACAGTTGTACACTAATTAGTCAAAGAAATGCCTAATAAAATCTAGATTGAATATATACAAAGTATTAATGTTGCTTGCCTATTAGTTTAGCAAATTATTTGTCATGACATAAAAAAAAATTATTTATGCTCTGATAATTACCGATACATTGTATGTGCAAAAAAAAATCCACACACAAAAACAAAGCACTAACTTATTTGTCTAATAAATAAGCATCATTTACTTGATAATTTTTTGTTAGTTATCTGTTGTCCAGTGATTTGTGTATTAATAAGTGAAATATTATGAGAATATTTGGAAATACAATTAGTGAACAGACAACTAACCTTTTTTTACATAGTGGATTTCCAATCTCAGAAAATCACAAAAATACGGAGGAAAGTTTGTGTATATATGTGTGTGTGTGTGTGTGCTTGTGTGTAGGAAGAAAACATTGATCTTCTTAATGTAAAGCCTTTTGTCTTATTTTGTAATTGTTGATCAAATACAACAGTTTCGGTTGAACTTGCTACATGTCTTTTTTTTTTTCATTTAAACACCGGAGTTTTTATATATAGATAAATATTTTGAAGGCTTGTATAAATTATGATTGTCTGAGAGATTATATGTCCAATATTTATAAATTCCCAAATGTAGTAAATCTGAATAATAGGAGATATGATAAGTAGATGAATATACATAATAAGTATTGATGAATCAGATTTTTTCCAAACACGATTCTTCTGGAAAACCTGTTGAATGTGTTAAAAGTGAAATTCGTTTATTATTAGATGCTATGGATTGTTGAGGATAAAGATCTTTAAACCGTTGTGTTTGCATATCATGCTGTTGCATAACCTCTTGAAATGCTTGATGATGATGTCTATATGATAAAGAGGCTTGACTTGTATTCACCTGAGAATTTCTTGCTTCCATACATAAACTGCCTAATTCACCTAATGATCCCATACAACTGGATTCTTCTTTAAGTTCTACTTCGATATTTTTTGCAGTATTACTTAATACAGAAGAGATTCTTTCACGACCAGATTGTTTTGAAAAAGATTGTCGTAAAATTATTTCTGTTTTTCTTTTTTTAAGTTTTTCTTGATTTCTATCTTCAAATATTTCTTCATTAAAATGACCTGAAGTTTTATCATCAGGATAGTTCAAACCTTTTTGATCATCTGAAACATGAACATAAGTAGTAAGTTCTTCACTTTCTGACTCTCTATGATAAAAATAATTGAAGTTTGATACAATGACAGGTACAGGAAGTGCTATCGTTAGAACACCAGCAATTGCACACATTGAACCAACAATCTTTCCCCACATTGTTACAGGTCTCATATCACCATATCCTACTGTAGTCATTGTGACTACTGCCCACCAAAATGCATCAATAATACTTGGAAATTGTTCTTCGCTAGCATCAACTTCGGCAAAGTAAACTGCAGCGGAAAATAGAACTACACAAACAAATAAAAAAAAACATAGTAAACATAATTCTCGAAAGCTTAGCTTTTCTACAGTGTCCTTCCCTCAAGAACTCTGCACTTCTCCTTTATACGACAATACGTGGGACAATTTTAATATACTGAAAACACTCTCTAATACTACATATTCCGATATCCAATCTTTGTTGTCTCAATGATCCGTTGTGTGCTAGATCTCTCTCTCGGTGTGCCTTCTCCGTTAGCCTCACGCTAAAGTGAGAATATGAAGGAAGAGGGGTGGATACACACATATGGGTAGGGATTAGGGAGTGTAGAGTGCACAGTGAGAAAGGACACCATACATGTGGTATGAGAAGGTGAGAGGCACTACCAAAGAGGGAAAGGGGACGTGAACAGAGAAAAAGAGGGGGGAGAGGGAAAGTAACGGTGGGGAAATAGGGTGTTATGGGTTATGGGGGAGGAGATAAGTGTGTGTGAAATGTCAGAAAAGTGGTGCAGGTCGGAAAGAGTATTGATATTAGATGGTAGAAAGGAGGAATATGAAGAGTTAGGAGGAAGTGTGAGATGAGGATAAAGGAATCAAAAGAGTATGGCAATTTTGAGTGTGATCCGATTAGTGAGAGTTTTCCGTATATTTAAATTGTCCCGTCATTCTAAAGGACTTCAGGTTCTTGGGAGGACACTTAAAGCTAGCTTTCGAGAATTATGTTTACTATGTTTTTTTTTATTTGTTTGTGTAGTTCTATTTTCCGCTGCAGTTTACTTTGCCGAGGTTGATGCTAGCGAAGAACAATTTCCAAGTATTATTGATGCATTTTGGTGGGCAGTAGTCACAATGACTACAGTAGGATATGGTGATATGAGACCTGTAACAATGTGGGGAAAGATTGTTGGTTCAATGTGTGCAATTGCTGGTGTTCTAACGATAGCACTTCCTGTACCTGTCATTGTATCAAACTTCAATTATTTTTATCATAGAGAGTCAGAAAGTGAAGAACTTACTACTTATGTTCATGTTTCAGATGATCAAAAAGGTTTGAACTATCCTGATGATAAAACTTCAGGTCATTTTAATGAAGAAATATTTGAAGATAGAAATCAAGAAAAACTTAAAAAAAGAAAAACAGAAATAATTTTACGACAATCTTTTTCAAAACAATCTGGTCGTGAAAGAATCTCTTCTGTATTAAGTAATACTGCAAAAAATGTCGAAGTAGAACTTAAAGAAGAATCCAGTTGTATGGGATCATTAGGTGAATTAGGCAGTTTATGTATGGAAGCAAGAAATTCTCAGGTGAATACAAGTCAAGCCTCTTTATCATATAGACATCATCATCAAGCATTTCAAGAGGTTATGCAACAGCATGATATGCAAACACAACGGTTTAAAGATCTTTATCCTCAACAATCCATAGCATCTAATAATAAACGAATTTCACTTTTAACACATTCAACAGGTTTTCCAGAAGAATCGTGTTTGGAAAAAATCTGATTCATCAATACTTATTATGTATATTCATCTACTTATCATATCTCCTATTATTCAGATTTACTACATTTGGGAATTTATAAATATTGGACATATAATCTCTCAGACAATCATAATTTATACAAGCCTTCAAAATATTTATCTATATATAAAAACTCCGGTGTTTAAATGAAAAAAAAAAAAGACATGTAGCAAGTTCAACCGAAACTGTTGTATTTGATCAACAATTACAAAATAAGACAAAAGGCTTTACATTAAGAAGATCAATGTTTTCTTCCTACACACAAGCACACACACACACACACATATATACACAAACTTTCCTCCGTATTTTTGTGATTTTCTGAGATTGGAAATCCACTATGTAAAAAAAGGTTAGTTGTCTGTTCACTAATTGTATTTCCAAATATTCTCATAATATTTCACTTATTAATACACAAATCACTGGACAACAGATAACTAACAAAAAATTATCAAGTAAATGATGCTTATTTATTAGACAAATAAGTTAGTGCTTTGTTTTTGTGTGTGGATTTTTTTTTGCACATACAATGTATCGGTAATTATCAGAGCATAAATAATTTTTTTTTATGTCATGACAAATAATTTGCTAAACTAATAGGCAAGCAACATTAATACTTTGTATATATTCAATCTAGATTTTATTAGGCATTTCTTTGACTAATTAGTGTACAACTGTCATTGTTCATATGAAACTGTTCGTTTTTATTTTTCAGAAAAAAAGCAAGGATGAATCAAGTGATTTTTTTTCGATAGATATATGATATTCAGAAATCAATAAATTAGAAAATTAAATGAATATAAATTAAAAGTGGTGATAATGCTGTGATGTTTGTAATATTCTATTGGATGGGTACTAAAAAGCTTATCGATTAACTCCATGTTAGGTTTTGGGAGTTAATTGATTTCTGGTCAATTTTTTTACCTAGATGACTGTAACACAGGTGCACATAGTAATTTGTTTTGATAAAATGATGTTAGATAAGTTTGAAAGTTATTGTTTGTGTTTGTTTATATGGGTATGTCGAAATTGTGTACGTGTAAATGTTGACATATATGTTATCTTCTGTCTATATTCACTTAGCATTTATTGGACATAGGTTATGTTTTTTATTATTAGGATATACAATTCATGTTGATATTATTGATTTACAAGGCCAAGTTCATCATCGGCCTGTAATGAAATTGTGTGAGAAGTCACTGTATATGATTTTGAGAGAGTTTTATTATAAAAAACTAAAAGTTTGTGTTCACTTCTACATATTGTTAATCGAATAAGATAATTATCGTTTTAACGGATTCGTCAGTCACCATTAAGATGTACACCTAATTCATATCAGACTAGTTGAGTTGATATATTCGAAATAAGAGAAGAGCTTAATTTTAAAGCTCACTATTATTCTAATTATATTGCCCTATCGAAGTAATCTAAACTACCAGTATACTTATTACCTTAACCGATTTATTGAAGATAGATCATTTTAAAAATCTTTTGTAATCTACATTTAGATATTATGTTTGAGATTGATTCTTATAAATGTATTATGTAGATAAAATTTGAATAACTTACAAGTTTCTTTATTTAATTTATGGTTAACTGATTTTAAAAAATTACTAGTTGTTTTCTGCAAATATACAAGAAATAAAATTTCTACTTAAAAATTGAGTTTTTATTAGTTTATTAGTTTTAATAACTTGTGCTTATTGGTAGAGCTTCGTTCTCGTTGGCTGAATTGTTCGATCGTGAAACTTTATTTGTTTTTCTGAACGACATTATCAGCAAAAACCTGAGGTAAAAGTGAAGTATTTGGAATCTATTCGAAATTCATGGGCAAATATAGAACGGAGAATCAAACCGAAGGGGGATACAGTCAAAATAAAGACACCGATAATGCCTGACTGGAAGTCAACGATAACCACTCAAGATCGAAATCAACGGAACAAGCCATGAGTTATTTGTTGGAAAACTCGAATACTTCACTTTGACTTGAGGTTTGTGGTGATACTGTTGTTCGATAGAACAATGAAAGCTTCACGACTAAATCATCCAGGTCAGAGAAAGAAACTTCTCTAAAACGATTCACCTAAGCTACAGATTATCTCAAGTATCTCAATTAGTGAGTATTTAGTTGAAAATTTACTGTCTGCTAAAATTTATATAAAAGTAAATAACAATTGAATGTTAAATAATGATAACAATTTATACATTGATTCAATGAGAAAGGAATGAGATTAATACTTATACTGGTATTTGACGAAAAAACAAAACAAAAAGTGATTGTACTCTCGTAAAGTTTGATAGAAATTTCAAGTTTGAGAGTTGTATAGTTTTATTCACACATTTATGAATTTATAATATCTTGAAATATGTTTTTTTTCATATCTGTCAATTCATTCACATTCAGTCATTGATTTTTTTCTTGATTAAATAGCTAGCATTTTAAAAAAAAATCAGTAAATCTTGTCAATACCGTTCGAATAGAAATGTAGTTGAGTAATCTTTTTATTTTCAGCACCCGAAATTTATGCATTAGATGAAGTAAACTATTTAAACTATGATTTTGTTTCTGTATAAACTGATTCAATTTGTCACTTTGTTTGATCTCAGAATGAATTCAAACAAGTATTAATTAGGTCAGTGATTATCTTTTTATAAAGACAAGAAAAATTCTGTACGTGATAATTCCTTGTTTAAACGGTTATATCTACTGGGATTTCCCCCTTTGGACTAAAATACTTGAAAATTAAGATAAGCGTTAGTTATTTCAATACGAACAGTTCTGTTGAGTATTTGATAATCGGTAGCAGCTATAAAAACAATTCACTAACTGTCGTTTAATATAAGAAAAAGATCAAGTGTAGGAGAAATCTCCTATTTCAATAGCATAAATAGAAATAATCCATGATAACAAAGGCATCATCTACAAGTACAAAAAGAATTACCTGAGAGAAAGTAGTAGCAGCCAATCAGAAGAAAGCAATGATCATGAGGGAAATTGAATTTTAAAAAAGGCATTCTAGATTATCGTTCTATGATTATCTTAGCAGTAATTCACAGAAAGATTAACAGTATTAATGTTCAAGTAAAATATTTATTCTTAATATGTGAAACCAACTAGTTTGTCATTTGATCATCATTTTCAAAGAAGAAATAATAATGCACTTTTGTGCAACTGCCTTTCAATAAACGTGATTTGTGCGTTTCAGTGAGTTAATCGTACAGAGGAAACAAACATCATTAATAAAAAAATAATTGTATTGAATAATTTCACCTAAACGATAATAATATGATGAATTCGGGATGAATGAGAGTGAAGTGTAAAAGTAACAACCTAATGATATGGGTGATTTTGTGAACAGTTTGTTTGGTGGCCTATGCTCCACGCGGAGTATACAAGCGTATAAAAGTACATAAAATTGCAATAATTATAACAATGCTCGTTTATTTCTGATTTCATTAATGAAAACAAAAGTTATCATCATGTTTTTTTTAACGCTACAAGATGATACCCTATTAGTCTATAGAGTATTTTCATTGTTTTGCTCTCTAG